AAAAAAAGTTTTCTTAGGTACATCTATGGTGATTCCTGAAAGGGAAAGTATCAGCTTAGGACCATGAAGACCAAGTTCTCAGCTCAAAGGAGATCTATTTGCCCCAGAGAGACTGAGGGCAGGGATAAGGGACAAAGACAGGAGATAGAGGAAGAAGGAGAAGGGGAAGAGAACAAGGGAGAGGGGAGGAAGGGGGCAAGGGAGAGGGGTAAGGGGTATTTGTCCAGGAGGACAAAGGACTGCCTCTGGATTGAGAGGGGACAGACGTGGCTCCTAGGGAAATGTCAGTTTATAAAAGAAACCCTGTGTTAGAACGAGATGTTTGATTTTAATTCAGCATGTTGATTAGGTAAGCCAAAGCAGGCCTTTGATGAATCTTGGTAGCCAGCTTCAGGAGGGTTTGGCCAAATAAGGAAATAGACCTTGGGGGCTAGCGTTAGGAATGCAATCTAACAAGACAGAGGGAATGGGGGAGAAGGGCAAGGCCTGCCAGAGCCATGCTTGTGGTGCTCAAGCTAGCCAGAGTCCCTTCAATACCTATAAAACCTTACATTACATCGTGAATAATATTCAACAAATACATTATTTAGCTCATAAGCAAGGAAGGAGACAAATCCTCACAGGAGAAGTCCAACTTGAGCATGTGGACACTGTGTTCTCCTGTGAGTGAGCATAACTCCCCATCCTCTGAATATGACTTCACACAACAACTTCCTTCAGAAAGATATTCCACGGAACGTGGGAGAGGTAACTTAGGTGGACAAAACTTACACACACTACTTCAGCTGGATCACCAGGGTCAACCTCAGCAGCTACAAAACTGCTAGGTGCCCTCAGTTAGGCTAGGTGCCCTCAGTTCGATGAGACAGAAACAGAGCTGTCTGACCACATGACACAGGAGATGGCCAGGTGTGGTCAAGTATTGCTGTGCTAGCACCACTGCGAGCGGAGGCAGGGGTACCGAAGATTCAAGGTCGTTTTCATCTGTCTTGAAGTCTGTGGTGAGCGTAGGCCACATGAGACTCCGTCTCTAAAGAACAACTAGCAAAAAACACATTAGAAAGATCCCGGGAAAGGAATGAATACAGAGAGGTCAATCAATGGGACCTAAGTTACAGTGAGTTAGGAGCTAGAAGACCTGGGGTACCACCATTCCCCAGTAATATTTGTGTGTGTGTGTGTGTGTGTGTGTGTGTGTGTGTGTGTGTATGCATGTATACACATATATAGTAATGTGTAGATATACATATATACATGTGTGTATACATATATGTACGTGTACATATATATTATATTATATATAATGTATATTTCAAAAAAGCTAGAAGAGAGTATTTTAAATATTTTCACCAAGAAGAAATGTTAAGTATTTAAGGAGCTATGTTTAAGCATTTTAAAAAATTACATAATGGATACATGTATCAGACATCACACGATCCTCTGTAAGTTTGTGTGGTTTTTATGCTTTTACACACTAGAAAAAAAGTAGAAATTCTTTCAGTCAAGAAGTGGTTTATAAAATACATCCTTAAACCCATGCCAATGATTAAAAACAGAAAATGTGAGAACTAGCGAAGGGGACTGTGGGAGATGCGCTGACAGATGTGAAATGGTCTGCTGGGCGGGATTCTCGAACTGAGAAGGGAACTTCAGGGGCGAGGTGAGGAAATGAGAACCGAGTGTGGACCTCAGTGAGCAATATCATCAGTCTTGTTTATTAATTATATCGCAGGAACCGCGTTTCCGTAAAACGCTGGCAGGAGACTAAATGTGGGGTATATGTCAGTCCTGCCAAAGGTATTGTTCGGTAAAACAGACAACTGGCTGTTTGTATCTGTTGGGCCCCTGCCCCAGGCAGAGTGAGGTGAGCGCAGCTAAGCCATTCCTAGGGAGCCCCAGTGCCCACCCAGCCCCCTCCCACTTTTCCGGGCTGGTGGCTGGCACAATGTCACCTTTTGGTTCTGTCTTACGCGGGCACAGTGTTTGACCAGGTAAGCCGTTGGCACCCAGGGGGCTGCCTTGCCTCGTCTCCCTCCTTATACCGGTAGCTCTCATTGCTCAGAACTTCGCGGTTCTGTTGGGAGGTCTTCGAAGTGCAAACTCGCCACCCCTCCCGACATACCCTAGTCCTGTAACAAACTTGGGTCAGGTCAGAGATCAGGGGCTTTTTCTAAAAAAATTAAATAAAAACAAAACAAAACAGAGAAAAGGGTTTTTTGTTTTTGTTTTGTTTTGTTTTTTTCCCCTGCGCTCCTACTAAAGCGGGATGGAGGGCGAGCTTTTCACTGCCTTTCTGGGATGAGCAGGGGAGAGACCCAAGCCCCAGCGAGGAATCTGAGCTGAACAGCACGGGGTGCGCCAGGCGGCCAGAGCTCTGACACTGGAGGGAATCGGGTCTGGGGGAGTGGAATGGTTGTATGAATGTTTGTGGGTGGACGGTGCAACTTCAGAGTGAGTTGCATGCTCAGGAATATCCAGCGGATTCGAAGACACCCTCCCTATGTTTGTAGCAGAGGAACCGTTTGCAGTTTAAAGTGAGAGGTGCCGGCTGTAGGAGAATGGTTTTGGATAGATGGCGCGTGCGCTCTGGAAAGCCAAGGGACAGGAGATGGGGCTCTCTTTAGAAAGGGAAGATGAGGACCAGGACCCCACAGCCTACACAAAGGCACCGTAGGGAGGGCCTGGAACCGGCATCACCTCCCCCAACGCGCGCTAAGAGCTCCCGGGGAGGTGCCAGACAAAGTCAGCGGGCCAGTGCGCCTGCCGCGCCCCATCCTCTCCAGCTTTACGCACGGGTTAGCTCGCCTTTTGGCATCACGAGGAGAGCAGGGAGGAACTCCAGCCACTTCCCCTAAGGACAGAACTTTTACCACCGTCACGGGCCCTAGACCAGGAGCTCCCCAAAGGCAGTAGCCAACGATCTAGGCTCTACCCAGGGGAGGAAGGAGCTGGAGTGGCTTTGGCTGGCCCAGGAGAGGGGCGCACAGCCTGGCTGGCGTGTGACAAGACCTCTGAGTTAATGTATAATTGTGAGCAGATGGCGGGGGCTGGCGGCAGCCTGGGGGCTGGGCCCAGCTAATGAGGGACAATTAGCCCCAAACACGGTGGGGGCAGTGGAGAGAGTCAGACAGTGAAGGGAGATATTTGCTCCTCAAACAGTCTGGCGCGTTAGGCAGAGGGCTGAGCGACTAAGACTTTGGGCTTGCTAGGCCCCCCGCCAGGGCCCTTTCTCCTTTTTTCCCTCTCCCTATCACCTCTGGGTCGAAAGCTTCTGTTTGTTCAGACCCGAGAGCCTGTTGTAAAGGTTGAGCCAGAGGGTAGTTTATGGGGGAAATCGCTGCCACCACCATCTGCCAGGGCTTCTCTTTTCTCCCCACCCCCTTCCCTCTGGCACCCCTACCTACACCCTCAGGCAGCTGTCCATAGGAAAAGCCCGTCAGGGCAGGAACCTTGAGCTCCAAGACGCAAGGACAGATTCAGAGACAGAAAGAAGGCAGGACAGGGAGACTGAGAGCAGGGGTACCTCCTTCTTGGGGACCTCCATTCAGCAGGCACAGCTAAGTAGACCGGCCAGCAGCCCCCAGCTGCCCTGGTGGAGGGGCTCCCCTTGGGCTAGGCCAAGTGCTGTCCTGCCCGTGGTGCTGAAACTGTCCGTTACAGCCTCCCCTCCAGGGCTCTGGCCCAGCCTGAGGATTAAGGAGCAGGCGAAGAGGAGTGGAGTATGTATCAGAGTAAGACTGAAGACCACTTCTGTGACACATTTGACCTTGGAAGACAAGAATTTCCAACTCCAAGATCCAGGTTCATGTAGGATACTTCTCCATTGCCAAATCCAAAGTGTTTACCAATGAGATCTACCATGTTCTCCCCTGATACCTAGGTCTAGTCTTAATGCCTCAGGAAATCGGAGTTGCCTCCCTGAACCTCACTTCTGGATGGGGTTATGGATTCTGTGACATAAAAAGGGCCCAAAGGGCTTTCCACATCTGCTCCTTCGCACCCTTCCCGGGATCTCCCACCACTGTAGTAGGAACAAGGCTTCCTAACACTGACGCCATGTTTGCTCCCTACAACCCACTCTCAAGGAACAACCTCCCCAGCCACTGGCTTCCTCACCCCAGCAATGGCCCAGACAATAGATGATGTCTTTTGTGGGAACTGCAGCATCGTTTTTCATTTAATCTAAAAATACCGAATCCTAAGTAAAATGGAGTCTGAAAACATCCGGAGACAGAAGAGGGAAGAACAGGTTGTTTCTAGCAGCGCATTAGAAAGACCTGCGTTTGTGCTCATCCTCAGGCACACACACCCACCTCTGCTGTCAGTGGTCTGAAGTCCATGACGGCCTGTTTCTAGGCAAGGAATGACCCTTTGTGTCATTTCAGTCAAGCAAATTCTCAGTCAGCTGGAGAATTGGTGAGGATCCTTTCTGGGGGCTATTGACGGAGGTGGCACAGTCTCTTCTCCGTCAGCTCTCCTTCTTCTGCAGTTCTAGTGGAAGCCAACTCAGCCTGTGCTCCGTCATTATACACGATTTTATAATCATACACATCATCTGGGGGTTGGCTTAATACATGCTATGGCTGGGAAACCATATCGGCACTTATGGAATATTCTTTTGTGCTTCTTTGCATGTGAAACTTTGGGTACATACGCCGAAGTTCCTCATCTTCCATGTTTCCCATTCTTTCCAAGAATACTGGCCCATGCTTGGGTACACTCTGTGTTGAGAGAGCCCATCTGAGAATGGCTCTGTGCCTCCTTTAGAGTAGCTGGACACAATGTGAACTCCGAAGGACCACAGAAGGACACAGTGGCCATTGGCTGCGGGTTGCCCTGCCTCAGGGCCTGTGTCAGCCAGCCCTGTGCACACTTCCCTCCTCCTCCTCTGCTCATGGCCTGTGACATCACTGGCTACTCCCAGAAGGCTGCCCTCTGCTCCAGAGTACAGGCTCTGTGCAGCTCTGGACCCCCTGGCAGGATTGAAGCTGCATCAGAGTGGAGGCTGTTACAAGACCAGGGGACCAGCAACCTCTGGAGCCAGCCCGGAATCCTGAGACTTTTCCCTGGAATTCCCACCTCATTTCCCTCCACTCAGGTAGCTTACCAGCAGGCTCATTGTCTGCTCTGTCTAGCATACTGTCTCCATGTCTTTGTGTGGCTAAACCCAACCTTCTCTCTCCTCTCTCTTTACTCATCTTCCTGTCCCTTCAACTCCTTAACCCACTTTCTCCTCTACTGAGTGGCATGTATTTTTTTTTTCCTGACAAGATACTACAAATATTGGTAATATGTGGCAGACTATTGGAAACAGGGTTTCTGTTTGTGAGTTAGGACATGATTCATTTTGGTTTCAATGATTTGTTTTAGGTTTGGGTATTGAACCTGTGTTCCACAGTAACGTTGACCCTTGGTCATTTGGGAAGATAAACTCTTAGGAAGGATTGAGTGTTAGGCTGTTGGGCTAAGCCCCCATCCCCTGCCCTTTGCATTCCCAGCCATCCTTCCCCTTCTTAAAGGGCAATTGTCCAAGTATGAAGAAGGATAGGGAGAGAGAAATAGAATCCCATGCTTAGGAGCCAGAAATTTTTACTCTGGTCAGGAGTTTTACTCTCTGAGAGGGTCTTAATTTATGTTGATCCTAATTGTGCCTCCATTTCCTTTGGGGGAAAAATTCAACTTTCTTACTGAGCTTCTGGAATGCTAAGAGATTGAATAGATTATGCCTCTACATGCTTAAAAATAAACGAATAAAAGCCACCTTAGCTACTGAATTCAGTGGGCTCTGGACTCTTGGTGTTTGCCTCCTGCTGATTCCCTCTTCCTATTACATTGTAATCTCCATTTAAAAAGAAAGAGTTCTATCGAGGATTCAGGTTTGGCTGATATTCTAAACCTCTTCCCCCCTCTGGGCATAACTTAACTCTTTACACTCTCGGCTTGCCTCTGTTTAATTTTTTTCCCCCACTTTATCCCCAACAAACAGCAGTGGGCTTGTGCTTAATGTCCTAGTCACTAAGTAATTGCTGTTGAGTTAGCTGAGCCAAGACTGCGTGGTTATTTCAGGAAAGTTCCTGTTCCCTGGAGTTACCTACAGCTCTGCCAAGATTCCAGGCCTGAAAGGAGACAGCTTCAACTCCTAGTGGCTTTTGAAAGCAGAAAAGACCTAACTGTGGCTGTTAATGGGCACACCCTCTCGTGCTCAAGATGGCTCCTGCTCTCATAAGCAGCGAGCATCCCTTCCTTCCAAAATGTTGTCGGAAAATGTTAGTTAGTAAATATACAGTGTCTAAAGGGTGATCATTGGAAATGAAGCTTCACTGTGACATCTAGAGGTCTTTAATGTTAAGGGGAATCAACAGCTCCAGACACGTTAGCAGGAAGCGTTTTTACTGGGAGTTTGGAGATTGAATCTGGGACTGGCTAGTGAAACCTGAATTTGTGAACCAGAGCCTCTGGCTGATCAGATGACAAGCTGTCTACTTGGGGAAGAGAAAGCCTGAGTACGGAGAAGAGTGTCCCCTCTATCTCTCTATAGAAACGTGGGGAATTAGTTTCTACTCTCCCTCTAACCTCCATATCGAAAAAGATCCAACCTCAGCTGACTGACACTGTGATTTCATCACATAAGAAAAGAGAGTTTCAATGTTTTAGTGTTAGCCAGTCTACTGACCCTCTGTCATCAACATTCCACCCACGACCACTTCAAGAGCTCACACTTAAATAACGCTCTTTTGCCACAGAACCATCCCCAAGTCAGAAGAGAAACTTCTAGAGGGATCTCGGCTCTTCAGCTTGCCAGCTGGCTTCCCGCTCCTCTGTGGGAAGGACCAGTAGAAGGATGCATCAGGACGGTAAGAGGCTTGGGAGAAGAAGTTGAAGTGTATAGAGGGGTTCAGAGATAGAATACTGCCCTTGGGTCTTGGCTTCTGCCAACACAATTTCATTTATCCTTAGCCCATGCTCTAGGCAAGGTTTTCTCCAATTTCTCCCTCTCCGCTGTACTCGGCTACCTTTGGATTAGGACATAACCAGCTCCTAAAGAAAGCGGCTTGTTTTGGGGACCCTGGGAAAGGTGGGCACGCCTCAGAGAAAGGCATGGAGTATGTAGTATGTCTGTAGCAGGCCAGTCTGGAAGACCTGAGTGACCTTCGGCAGACGTGTATGGGGACCTGGACAGATGCAGTCTACTGAAGCTTACGTTTCCTACCCAGGAATCAGCAGTGTGAATCAGCTGGGGGGACTCTTCGTGAATGGCCGGCCCCTTCCTCTGGACACCCGGCAGCGGATTGTGCAGCTAGCGATCAGTGGGATGCGGCCCTGTGACATCTCGAGGAGGCTTAAGGTAGTGCCAAACCCTTGACCCAAGGATAGAAGCAAGACATGGGCACTAAAACCCCTCGAGGCAGCACTATGTGGCTGCCCTCCAGAGTCTTCTCCGTCTTCTCCTGGGAGACCCTCTAAGAGGTTGGGAAGGGGAGCCTTAGGTGTCCACAGGCGACCATGCCCCCCCCAATCCAGGGTCTCGCTGTGCCTTGTAGCTTTCTTCTATCCCAGGAACGCTCACCTTCCTTCTGCCCGTCACCTCTTCTGTGTGCTGTTCTTGCTTCTCACCTGACTCAGGTATCTAATGGCTGTGTGAGCAAGATCCTAGGACGGTACTACCGCACAGGTGTCCTGGAACCCAAGGGTATTGGGGGAAGCAAGCCTCGTCTGGCCACGCCTGCTGTGGTGGCTCGGATTGCCCAGCTAAAGGATGAGTGTCCAGCACTCTTTGCCTGGGAGATCCAACACCAGCTTTGTGCTGAGGGGATTTGTACCCAGGACAAGACTCCCAGTGTAAGCACCCCTCCCTGCCCTGGGCTCTGCAAGCAGACTGTGTGGGGAGAAGATCCCTCATCCTTGGCAACTTGGGTATCTCAGGCTGGGGTGAGGGCAAGCTGAAACTAGCCTTTGACTCACAGATTTCTGAGAAGTGGTGGTGGTCAGGGAGCTGAGGAGGAAGTATGGGGAGACGGGGGCAGCTACTCTTGGGAAGGCTGAGTAGAAGAAGGATCTGCAGGATGCGACCCCAGGCCTACATACCACCTTGCCTGTGTTACCCCAACACCCCAGGTGTCCTCCATCAATCGAGTCCTCCGGGCGCTCCAGGTAGACCAGCGGTTGCATTGGACACAACTCAGATCACCAGGTGGGTCTTTGAGCTGTCGCCGGGGATGTACAGAGCCAAATTCCTAGCATTTTATAGCTCTTCCTTCTGCCCATCATGAGATGTTCTCATTCTTTTTTAATCGCCGTCACAACAGTCCCTTAAAGAGGGTCTACCAGGAGGCTTTATTTTCTCCTGGTAGAATATGGAAATTGAGGAACATGAAATTACTTGCTCAGCCATCAGCCAATTGTTGGCATGTCTTGGAACAGAACCTACACCCCTTAACTCCTAGATTCACAGTATCTGCTAAGGGTAAGGCCAGGCTGCGCCTTCTCTACCCGTCTTCTGCTTCCTGTTTAGTTTTTCAGAATTTCCTCCAACATCTAGGGGACCGTTCAAACCCGGAGCAACCCTGTTTTCCCTGACTAGCACCATGAGACTGAGCACGTGGAACAGCAGCTGCTAAGGACCTTGGTGCTCCTCTAGCCCTGCTCTGTGCTCATGCTGTTGCCCTGTGAGTGACCCCATACGACCAGAAAAGTGCATACCACAGACGCCCTAAGACCTTGTCCTCCTCTGCAGCTCTTTTGGCTCCAGCTCTTTCCAGTTCCCGCAGCAGCTGTGAGGTACCCCGAGGGGCCTCCCCAGGGACCAGTCACAGGAATCGGACTATCTTCTCCCCAGGCCAGATGGAGGTGCTGGAGAAAGGTGTGGGCTGTGGGATAGGCAGTGGGGTAGAAGGTCCTCGGCGTGACATCAAGGCAGTCTTGAAACTTGTGGGCGAAGGCTGAAGGGGGTACAGGTTGTGGGTGGCTTGGCCCTGGGAATGAGGGTTACTTAGGGTTTCAAGAGTAGAGAATGGGGATTGACAAGGAAAACCTGCCTTACTCCCTTCCTTACCCTCACTGTGGGAACCTCTGTCTCTTCAGAGTTCCAGCGTGGGCAGTATCCAGACTCAGTGGCCCGTGGAAAGCTGGCTGCTGCCACCTCTTTGCCTGAGGACACAGTGAGGGTGAGTGAGCTCTGTATCACAGTGGGAGCAAACTGTAAAGGAGAAGAATCAGGGTTTCTGGTCTGCTAAGGTAGAGACTGCAGCAAGACGGTGAAAAACTTGTTTGGAAAAAAAGAGATGAAATTCTCCTTGCTTTTCTGTCAATGGCTCTTCTCTTTCACCACCCAGGCCTTTTGAGTGAGGAAGGAGACAGAGAGCAGGGAGTGAGGGTAAGAGTCAGAGTGGACGAAGGCTCTACTTTCTGAGTCCAGGCCACAGACACATGGCGAGAGCAACTAGTGCCATTTGGCTGAACACACAGCCAGTGACATAGTCCCTGTTCTCTTAGGTCTGGTTTGCCAACAGAAGAGCCAAATGGCGCCGGCAAGAGAAGCTCAAGTGGGAAAGACAGCTTCCAGATAATTCCTGTATGTATCCATCCACCTATCTGTCCCTGCATCTATCCATGCATCTGTCTGTTCATCCATCCGTCCATCCATCCATCCATCCATTCATCCATCCATCCATCCATCCGTCCATGCATCTGTCCATCCATCCATCTGTCCATCCATTCATCTGCCCACCCATCCACCCACCTATCTGTCCATGCATCTGTCCATCCATCCATCCATCCATCCATCCACCCATCCATTTATCCATCTACCCATCCATCTGTCCATCTACCCATCCATCTGTCCATCCATTCATCTGCCCACGCATCTACCCACTTATCTGTCCATCCATCCATCCATCCATCCACCCATCCATCTATCCACCTACCCATCCATCTGTCCATCCAACCATTTACCTGCCCACCCACCCATCCATCCTTTCATCTGTCCATCTGTCAATCCATCCATCCATCCATCCATCCATCCATCTGTCCATCCATTCATCTGCCCACCCATCCACCCACTTATCTGTCCATGCATCTGTCCATCCATCCATCCATCCATCCATCTGTCCATCCATCCACATTTACATGGCATTCCCATGTACCTGGCATGGTACTAAGTCCTGGGCACAAACAGACCCTGTTCTTCAGGGCTGCTCTCTCCTGGACTTAATCATTATTTCTAGTTTTCTAAGACCCTGTTTTGGGAAGAAGACCGTCTAAATTGATGACATCTGTCTTTTCCAAATTCTGCAAGTAGTTGCTACCTTTCCTGGAGCTTTTACCATACCCTAGGTCCCAAGTCCCCAGGCCTATTCCTCCCTCTGAGTGGGTCCACCCTCACCTTGTAGGTACCTCTCAGGATCCCACTGCACCAACAGTTTCCTCAGGGGTCTTCGATGCACAGGTACTTGGGAGGAGAGGGGGTGATTAGCTGGGAAGATTGAAGATTTCATGGCTTCCCCCCCTCCTTTTTTTTTTGTATTTTGTTTTTTCAAGACAGGATTTCTCTGTGTAGTGTTGGCTGTCCTGGACTCACTAGACCAGGCTGGCCTCTGCCTCCCAAGGGCTGTGTTTAAAGGTGTGAGCCACCACGCCTTTAAAAATCCATGGATAACGAGGGCCTTCACAGTGAATTTCTGCAAAATGCTACCCCCGGACTCCTATAGGAATGAATGGCACCCTCTGGAGTGCAGGCCACAGCCGGGGGAGGGGGAGGTGGTCTCAGGGGTCGTCCAGTTCTGGTACCCAGGCTTTCTGAGCAGGAGGAGTTGAGGATCTCGGCTTGCTTTCTCTAGGAGCCCCCAGGCAGTGGACCCTCAGCAGCCCTGGCTGTGCTGGAGCCGCTGAGTCCCATCTGTCAGCTGTGCTGGGGGACAGTACCAGACAAGTGTCCCAGTGACACACCGCCCCAAGCCTGTCTCCAGTCCTGCTGGGGTAAGAACTGAGGGTGGGCACCAGTCCTGCAGGGGTGGGATGGGGTGGCTCCCTCCTTTCCTGTGGAGGGGTCTGATTCCAGTTGGGGAAGCAGAGGGAACCTCTCAGAACAACTTCCCTCCTTCCTTGTAAAGCTGGGGGTGTGTGGGAGATCTGACACCCATGGAAGGTAAAGGAAGCAGTGTTGAGACCTGAGGGAAGGCACCTTCAGGCAGTTATGTCTCAGCCCTCCCCTCAGCGAGTCTGAGAGTCTGTACGACCAATAAGTCCCTCTCTGTGCCAGGGAGACCGCTCAGCAAGGAAAGGCACTTGCTATTGAGCCTGATGCTCGGAATTCAGTCCCAGAAACTTGCATGGTAGAAGGAGAGAGTCAACTCCAGCGTTGTCCTCTGGCCTCCATGTGTGTGCTGCGGCACATGCTTGCACACATACGTGCATTTGAACACACAGATAGTGGACTCTTTAATGTGGTGGTAGGGCTCCAGGCTCCTCTGTGCATGGCTGGCCCTGTCACTAATCTTGGTGCCACTTCAGCCCTGAGCTGTCTGGTAGCCCACTGTTGGAAGACTAAGCTGGGAGAGCCAGAGACTGTAGGATCTAACACCACTATTCGCCCCCCCCCCAACAGATCGCCACACCCTCCTTCCCGTGGCTTCCTCCTCACACCTGGAATTTTCCTGGCCCTGCCTCACCACCCGTCCTGTTCGTTATCTAATTGGAGACCCAGGAAAAGCGACATCAACCCATTACTTACACTGGCCACAAGAGACCATTTGGCAGTAATAAATACTTTTAAAAAGTCATCAATAGTTCTTGCTATTTATCACTTTTTTCTCACGAATACCAATATGCCTCTAGCTAGCTAGCTATCTGTCTGTCATCTGTCTTCTACGTTCTAATTTATGTATATATGCATTATACCCAGCCATATTTACCTATGTAGCACACATATATATATGTGCCTACTGACCTATTTAGGTGTGGGGGTCACACAGGCACACACATACTAATCATAGCAATCCACTCAAGTTTTTCAGCATACACATCTTATTTATTCTGTAAGAAGCAAATAAATAAGAGCCTTACTTGCATAACAAAACATGATATCATAGTCACACCTGAGAAACATTACTATAGTTCTTTTATTTGTTTGTTTGTTTGTTTGTTTGTTTTGAGACAGAGTACCACTGTGTGCCTCTTGCTGTCCTGGAACTCACTATGTATACCAGGCTGGTCTCAAACTCATAGAGATCGGCCTGCCTCTGCCTCTGCCTCCTAAATGCTGGGAGTAAAGGCGTGCTCCGCTAGGCCTGACAATACAGGTTACTGTAGCTCTTTGGTGTAAACAAACAATTTTCTAATTGCACATGTATTTTCGTCATAGCAGCGGAGTGGAAATAACATTTTGATATTCTGCTTTCATGTTTGCACATGATCCGGGGGCACACTTGAATCCTAAATATTCTCGTCTGTCTGCAAAGAAAGACTTCTGCAAAGAAAGGCTTCTCCTAGGTAGTCTTCGGATGAGGGGAAAGGAAAGGCGCTAGAAAAAAAGTTGTGAGGGGATATTTGTAAAGGAAGACAGGCTTTTATTTCTAGACTCTTCCTCTCTTCTCTTTCTCCCCCTCCCTCCCTCCCTATGTAATTCCAGGCTGGAATTCAATTCTTCCTGTATCAACCTTTCAAATACCAGAATTACAGGTGAGTGCTATGTATCCCTAACAAACCGCTTGTATCTTCCACCTGGGATGTGCACTGACTTGGGGCTCATCATACAACTCATCTTTTATCAAATGCTCCCAAGCTGGCTGTTCAGAAGCTAGTGAGCACATCTATTCATAGTAACTCAGTCAAACAGACCATCAGCTACCCCTGATCTGGCCACGTTCCAAACACTGGGGGCCGTGGCTGCCGTCCTAGACAGAAAAGGCTACGGAGCATTTCCACCAGAAGAAAAAGTTTTATGACGGCGTGGCCTTGGATGCCCTCCCCTTGTCTGCTTTTGCCATGGAGATCTACTTGAGAGAGCCGCCCAGGGCCACAGGTACAACTATGTGGGAAGACAGCCTGCACAGCACAGCCGGAGAACCAGCCGCTCACCTCAGCCACGTCAGCCATGGAAACAGTTGTCTTGTTTCAGCTGAGGCTTGTGAACACAAACGAGCGACGGAAGAAGGGTCGCTTGCGGGGGGGGGGCTGGGCATAAGATTGTGTGCTCATGTTTGCACACCCACACACACGTGAGTCCCCGTCCACACACATTCCAGCTGCTTGGTGTGTGTATGTGTGTTCAGAGGATGCTGAGGAAGAGTCTCTGTGTTAAATGACCAGCAAGGCTGTGTTTGCAGCAATCTCACGTTTCCTGGGATAGCCTCAGATTCCTGAGGCCGAGTCACTCTCCTGCTTCAGCCTCTCAGGTGGCTGGGACTGCAGGCCCGTGCCTCTGCCTGGCATTGACCTGTTTAAGGTCCTACTCTCTAGCATTGTCAGCTTAACATCAAATGAAAAAATAAATTCTCCCACGTCTTCAGAAGAAATATGGAAACCTGAGGCCATTTTCCTCCCTCCGAACTGATTATCTTCATGTTTTTAATTTCAGCTTTTCTCATAAGCAGACTTTAAAAGTAAATATTTGTTGTCATATGGGGCAATTTGCCCAAAGTTGGGGACATGGGTGGTGGTTTAGGAGGCAACCTTCCACATTAAATAATAGCAGGTCAGAAGTGGGGAAACCTTTTAAAGCCCTTTCAACCTGATTAAACTAGGATTTGATAGCATTGCTTTGGGTTTTCTTCATTTTATCTATTTATTTAGTTGGTTTTTTTTTTTTTTACACAAGGGGGTTTCTCTGTGTAGCTCTGGCTGTCCTAAAACTCCCTCTGTAGAGCACACTGGCCTGGAACTCACAGAGATCTGCCTGTCTCTGCCTCCCAAGTGCTGGGATTACAGTCGCGAGCCGTTTGCACTACTGCTCTGCTCACTACACTGACTTTCATAGCTACTTTGCATTTATAGCACATGATTTGGGTTTTGTTTTATGACAGTGATAAAACATTCCCTCCTAGATGAATATGTTTAAGAATTAATATTAATGGAAACATTAACAGGACAGGTGGTAGGAAAAGGCTGAAGAAATGAGGACCGTGCAAGACAGACATACGGTTTGGAAGTCCTGCTTTGCTGGCACGCGTGAGTTCCAGGCTAAGCTCTGAGGCGATGAGCTGCAGGGCCTCAGGCCAACCCCTCTGCTCTCTGTGGAGGTGAGAAGTGGTGAGGAGCCTACTGAACTTCCCACTTCATCATGCATCAACGCTAAAGCTAATGATAGCTCCAGGAGAAAGCCAAGCAGGAAGGTGAAAAGGGGGTCTGTACATAGATGAAAATACCAGCACCCGTGCTCGTAAGATTATGTCTTCTTAGGGTTTCTACAGCTGTGAAGAGACGCCATGACCAAGGCAACTCTTACAAAGAAAAACATTTAACTGGGGCCGGCTTACAGCTCAGAGGCTTAGTCCATTATCGTCACGGTGGGCATGGCAGGCAGACATGGAGCTGCAGAGGTAGCTGAAGGTGCTACATCTGGATCGGAGGCAGCAGGAAGAAGTGTGTCCCACCGGGCCTGGCTTGAGCATCTGAAACCTCAACACCCACCCCCAATGACACACTTCCAACAAGACCACGCCTCCTGTGCTGCTCCCTGTGGGCCCATGCTTTTTCTTTTAAACCGCCACAGATTAACATTCTTTCACTTGTTCTAAATGACTTTTTTGTATTTTTTTGACGTTTTCATATAATTACATTATTTCACCCTTCCCTTTCCTCCTTCCAACCCCTCCTATGTATCTTCCACCCCATTTGCTTTCCAAATCATGCACCATGTATTCAAACATGGGAAAAAGTGCATATTTTTTTTAATATTTTTTGAGATTATAATATAATCACATAATTCCCCCTTTATTTTTCTACCTCCAAACTTTTCCAAGTAACTCTTCCCTTGCACTCTTTCAAGTTCA